TGGAACGCCCAACGGGAAAGCGGCTTTTGCGCCAGCTTGTCTTGACCTCGTCCGCGCAAATCTCAGTCTAGTGCGCGCATGTATCGGTCGTCTCAAAGCGCGCTCACTGCTGAGCAACGGTGCGGCAGGCAATCTGTGTTAGCACTATACCCAAGAATAATGTGTTGAACCATTGGGAGAAAGCATTTCACATGCGCTCGGTATGATGTTCGTCTTCGAGACAAGAAGTTGAGGTACGTATGTATTATCTCCTATTATGCTACAGCATCGTGGCTCCTCACTGGGCCAAATAGCCCCTATCACCAGTCAGCGCTTCATGGTTTCTCACGTAAAGATTGAACAATACATACCCATCCAGTACCAATGACTGACCAAACATGTAGCTGCTCATGGGCCCAGCCAAGAACACAACAGCATCAGCAACCTCTTCAGCATCTCCCAGCCGGCCTGCAGGCACACGCTCTCGCACGAGGTTATCGATGAAAGCCTTGGTCTGTTCCGAGGACGCGATGAGCGGCGACATGATGTACCCAGGGCAGAGCGCATTGATACGAATCTGCTGGGGTGCATACAGCACGCCCTCAGAACGTGTCAGACCGAGGATAGCATGTCGACCCGCTACATATGCACCAGCAGCGACTTGAGGGGGTGAAGCGGCAAAGGCATGCACTGAGCAGACATGCACGATACTGCCACGGCCATATCGCGAGTCGCGCGGCTCCTGCCGCAGCATTTGCCGTACCCCGGCCCGATGCCAGAGCCAGACACCAGTCACGTGTTCTTTGAGGTGGGTATCGAATGCGGCGGGTGCCGTGTCGGGACTGCCGCCCATGGGCCCACCGAAGCCGGCATTCAGAATGACGAAATCGATACGAGCGAAGCGTGACGCGGCTTGTTGAACGACAGCCTCGACGGACTCTTCCGTACTGCATGGAGTGGAGACACTCAGCACGTCTGTCACCTTGTACTGCGATGCTAGCGTCTGCGTTGTCTCTTGCAGTCCAGCCTCGTTGGTGTCGACAAGGGCAAATTGTTGAACACCATTGCGGGCCAGCGAGTATGCGGCGCTTTGGCCGAAGCCTCCAACGTAGTATTAGCCTTCTATCTCCTTTGCTACAAACTTTGTGCAAGCCATAAAAATGCAAAGATAGCAACAAGAAAACGTACCAGATCCGGCTTCTGTGATTAGTGCAATTCCCGAAAGCATTCTTGATATGGTGATCTTCGTGGCTAATTTTCATCCCATGGTTCTTGACGTTGTTTTATCGTGATCATGCAATACCCTCGGTGCTTTCTGACTCGGCGTGTTCAGAAACGCACCGAGTTGATTGCTTTCGCCCCCAAATCTGGATCCTAGCGCGGAGTTGTGTGGAGAGGCATGAGGCGGAGAATGAAAAACCCCGGCATGGGTATCTAAATTTGAAGCGTCCAATAGGGAGCGCCCAGCGCTCTTAACAATCCGAAAGCGAAGGACGTGCGTTATGCTCCGCGTCGGCGCTCTCCGATTGTCTGTTTACAGGTTACTACGTTCCTTACCTTCTCAACGATTGTGCCTATGCAAAAGGTATCCGATTCAAAGCTCCATACCATGTAGTTCTTGCGGACAGCCACACCCCAACAGCAATACGACCGCCCCACTACCCAGCCCACGGACCGCGGTCGCTCAATGTTGCTGCGATGCACCCACGCGGCCCCTTGCGAAGGCCAAGTTTGGAGCATGAAGCCTCAGACTGTATAGTTCTCCATGACGCCTTCGCATGAGTATCGCTAAGGTTGGAGCAAAGACTGTATCCTCTCGTCAGACGCAGAATATGAAGCACTCAACTTCTTGGTCTGAATATGCGACCTGGGCACACAAGCACTTGGGGTTTCCTGTGCGCTTGGTGATGATCGTTGTAGGTGGGTTGTGATGTCGAGATCGAAGAAGAGCTCATATAGCTGGTAAGGCAGTCATCGTATCTGAACACTAGAGAGTGCAGTTTCCGTGGGAGCGCACCACTGCAGGTATGAAAGCGTCCGGCTTCGTTTTTCTCAATCAAGATTCCAAGTCGACTTCTCTTAGCCGACACAGCTGGCTCATCATGGTTCGCGGTCGGCTGTAAGCTCGGCGCGCTTTCCCGTCGATTCGATCAGCCTTTGCACGTCGTCTGGGATCCATGAGAAATAGCAAGATCAAGTCACCAAAGCAATCTCTGCTCAGCTATACGGCATTCCTCTAGAACTTTCGTCGTTGTCACGGTCTGGATACCTGGGCAGGGTCGCGACAGCAGCACATCGCTCGTGCACTTGTGCGTGATGTGAGTGGCTCGGGTGGTCCATAGCATTGGTGGCAATGGTCACCATCTGCGGAACGTCCGGAGCTGACGGCGATGGAGATGCGACAACGCTGTCATGGCTGGAATGACGATGAGATGCCGTTCAGGAGTGTGACGTGCGTCAACCGGTGACGAAAAGCTAGCGGCGTAATTCCTTGGCGCCAGTAGAAGCTAGCGCGTAAACAGCTCATCCAGGCACACCGTTCGTTCTCTTCGCTGATACACGAACTCAACGCTACCCTCATTTTCCATCATTTAGCTTTAATTTTTTGGATAGACCCCTTTCTATCGCTTAGCGGGTGTTGACCGCTTCGTCGACTTAGTAAGAATACCCCACTCCAGACTTCCCTCTAAGCAGCCGAAACATCCACACCTACGCTGCATAGCCAAGCTCGGTGAGATGGCAGGTGTTGGACACTTTGCCTCCTCCCTGCGACTCAGTCGGGATCGAAGTGCGCGACATATCCATTCAGGGCACGTAGGAAGAGACATTGTTCCTCGACTGATGCAGCCACGCAACGCACTGGTGCAAAACAACAAGGCAGCCCCATGATTGGATCATCTTCGACGTGACTGCTACCTAATTCCACCACTTTCGCTTCTGCCACGTTTGAGCGCAAGTTGGAACGAAACTGCAACCACCTCGGCCCAACCCTTCCAGGATACTGACGCCCGCCAGAATGGACCCTTTTAGATATCGGAAGGCGTATGAGGCCATGGTGCATACAACGCAACTCATCGAAGAACGTCTGAATCAAGACGTTCAGCTCAATGAGGAAGGCACAGTCGATGACGATGGCGATGTACCAGAAGCCGCCTTCCAGGAGCAAGATCCGGACAGCATGGACTGGACGCCTACGGAATCGAATACTCCACCTCCAGAATGCGGACCACCACCAACTCTATCAAGAAAGATGCGTCATCTTCTACCTGGTGGCGGAGATAGTGATCTGCAGGCCGAAGATCGTGGAGAGAACGCAGTGCTCCTGCACAAGCTCAAAGAGGGGAAGATCATGGATGAATGCATTGACAAGCTGGTCCATGATCTGCCGGACGTCTTGAATTACCAAAAATCACTTTCATTCACTCCTTCGACGATCGAAGTGCCCAAGGACTTTGGGCTGCAGCTCAGCATCTCGATAAACCACCATCTCGCTCAAATAGAGGATCGCAAGGCGTTGGAGAAGTACCGCAGGTTACTTGGACATCGCAAAGATGCGACAAAGAAGAAACCCGTCAGGCTTGGGTTTGATCCAGTCGAATTGATCAAAAAACAAGCTGTAGCCTTTGGAAAAGACGTCCCTACACCTGTCTGCACGCTAGACAACGAGATACATCCTATCTTCCGTCTAGATAACTGGCACGGTTGTCCAGATGGGATCTACGAGGTCTTGAAACCGGCTTTGCAACTGGCCACCTTGCTCTTGACATCTCAGGCCACTGCTCACTTCTGGCACACTCTGGTATTTGGCAAGAGGGAGGCCTGCGAGGAGACATCTGCAGCGTATGGTCAGCCTTGTTTTCGCATCAAAGAGGACGTAGCATGGTCTGAAGAACACCATGCGACGTTCAAGAACTTCCTGGACAATCAGATCGATACGGTTCACTTCTACTTCCACCACGATCCTCTACCACCAGAGACTGCATATGCATCGATGGGTCTCGTCAAAGATTACAAGAACGGTTTGATGCGGAAAATTAATCACAAGTGCCATACGAGTCGCATCTGCCTCCATTCGGATTTTTATACTACTGCAAAGAAGCTCAGCTTGCTACGATACAGGGAGCCAGCGATGGTATTGCGATACAACATGTTTCTTGCTACATGCTTGGCGCATGAGGTTGCACACTTCTGTGAGGTTTCTGGGCCACATCACGACCACCCACTGCTTTCCGAACCTGAAGTTTTCTTTGGTGACAACATGTGGACGGAGAGTGGAATCGCTTTCGAACTCAAGATCTTCGGCGGGCGCATACACCCGCTGTCTAGCCGGATCGACTGCAAATTCGGACTAGCGTGTCTGGACTACCCGCTCAAGGAGCTTTACGACAAGGACGACAATGTTCTATACGCCTTGCCGATGGACTACATCCTTAAGCTTCAGCAGAAGGAAACATGGGAGCAAGACTTCAGCAAGGCTGGCCCGGATGTCTTCTTCGTTCCACGCACCGGAGGCCGCTCAATCGAGATCAACGGGACCAATCTGATGATTTGGGAAGATGAGAACGATGCAGAGATCTCGGATCATATTGATAACGAGGATACGGAGTGGATGCGTATGGATGATGGGTCGATTGCGAAGAACCCAAAAGCAAATAATCGCAAGCCACAGCGACAACCCGTGGTACCCCGATGGAATCCGTACAACAACCAAAAGAGGAAACAAGCTGTCGAGACAGGAGCCCCGTGTGTCTCCACAGAGGTGGTAGAGATAAAAGACGAGGAAGTGAAAGAGGAACAGAAATTGGAGCCGCCTGAAAACACTGAAGCAGGCAAAGGTGCTTCGGATCAGGATATGGCTTAATAAGAGATGGCGTTTTCGGAGGGAGGAAAAGGAGGAGGGATTGTTGCATTCACATTTAGCACGTTCTCTTGGATACCACTGCATTTGCGTAGGGCGTTGTTGTTTGTACTGCATTGGCATAAGCATCAACAGTTATTAGTACTACTTGTTTGTATACAGCTCATGCTTCATCGAGAGCTTTGTTCGCTAATGCATCTGCTTCTCGGTTCATCTCTCTTGGTATATGCCACAATTGTATCTCACCCTGGCCTTTATCTTCCCAGCGGTTCAACCAGTCGTACATCCATTTCATGATCTTGAAGTGCGCGACTTGTCTGCCATTGGAGCCCACCCCACCACGCTCAATCCAGTGTTTCATCCACTGGCTCAGAGCTTTGACTAAGAAGCTTGAATCGGTCGCAATTATTATACGATAGAGTCTCCAATTAAGGTGCGTGATTAAATCGATCATGGGAAGCGCTTGCACTAAAGCTTCAATCTCCGCACGCGTGCTTGTTTGAGGCAGAGACTCGTCGAGTAGACCTTTCCAGTTGCAAGGAGAGTTGGGACCGAAGTAGACACCGTATGAAGCCCGCGCTGTTGGTCGACCGTTGTTTCGACACGCACCGTCAATGTAGACAACTAGAGTCGTGTCGTCCGGTATAGGGTTTGGCTTGGACACAATCTTCATGCGCAGTTGAGAGATACTCTTCTCGGGATTGTAAAAAACGAGTTCAGACCGGGGAATGGGAGAGTAACAAGGGTCTTCAGATGGAACGAAACGGCGTCGGGTCAATTCTGGATACTTGTTGCGAGGCATGTTGTTGGCTTTGATCTTGACGTTGAGTTGGACTGGAGTTGTGAACTGTCTCTTGTGCAGCGGATGAGTCGGAACCTATATAGTAGTGATGATGTATAGAGTTTCGGCCTTATTATCAATATTAGAGAGTCGCGTCCACGGCTATCTTCATTCCAAGCAGAGGTACCTGACCGGGCCTACTGCTGAGCTAGTCCGATGTGGCTAGCGTGCTGTAAGCGAGGTGAATCTTGGCAGAGTCACTGGAGCCCGAAATCTGCTTCCTGACAACGACGCACGCCTATTGTCTACTACCCCCGCCGAACGTTCAACCCGACCTTTTCGACGACTTCAAGATGGCGGACACCCAGAAAGATGCGCTGTTCAAGACGGTGCAAATCGACGCCCTGGTACGTAGGAAAAGTGCAGCGCCAGTACCCCACTGTGCGCCCCGCCATTGTGCTGGAAACATACCGTTATAGGAGCCCGGTGTAGCTATGAGAGACTGACTGTGGTCCTCAGGTCGCGATTAAGATCGCTACCGCAAGCGGCAAGTCGTTCCCCTCGCTCGCGACCGGAAGCATTGTCGGCATGGAGAAGAACGGCGTCCTAGAAATCACAAACTCGTTCCCCTTCCCCGAAGTCTCTGCTGCCGCGCAGACCGATGGCCAAAACGATACCGTCGCAAACCTCGCCGCTGGTGCTCCCCGCGCCAAGCAGAATATCGCATACGGAAACGAGATGATCAAATTCCTCCGAGAGGTCAACGTGGACGCGAACAACGTCGGCTGGTACACAAGCACAAGCATGGGCAACTTCGTCAACCTGAACACGATCGAGAACCAGTACTTCTACCAGAGTCAGCCAAACGAGAGGACCGTCGCTTTGATCTACGACGTGAGCAGGAGTTCTCAGGGTACCCTGAACCTGCGCGCATACAGGCTCTCGCCTTCTTTCGTGACAGCATACAAGGAGGGCAAGTTCACCACTGAGAGGTATGTATAAACGACTCTACATAAAGGTGGAAACTGACAATCCCAGCCTCCAGAAGAGTGGTCTCCGATACCACGACATCCTAGTCGAGCTTCCAGTCACCATCCGCAACTCCCACCTCCTCACCTCGCTTCTCCACCAGCTACCTTCCGACGCGCCCAAGCAGGAGCTCAAGTTCCCTCCCAACCTAGCCGCTTTGCAGCAGGACCCAAACACCCCCCAGGCACCGCTCTTCCCCAACTACGACTCGCTCGACCTCTCCATCGACCCCTTCCTCGAGAAGACCTGCGACTTGCTTCTTGAGAGCATCGAGAACCACCACACAGAGATCAACAACTACCAGTACTACCAGCGTTCGCTCGCTCGTGAGCAGACCAAGATTACTGCATGGCAGCAAAAGCGCAAGGCCGAGAACGCGGCGCGCACAGCCTCAAAGCAACCTCTCCTTCCCGAAGACGAGTGGCAGAGGCTGTTTAAGCTGCCCCAGGAGCCCAGCCGATTGGAGACGCTCCTCAACTCAAGACAGGTGGAGCAATACTCGAGGCAGGTGGATGGTTTCACGGCAGGCGTCACTTCCAAGATGTTTGCCGTCAAGAGCAACCTCCTTCCTGGAGAGTAGGTTTTGGTAGATGTGGCTGTATTTCATGATTATGCTTCTCTTCGTCACGGCATGGGCATGGCGTTGCGGGTTAGCGGTCCCTTTGACGGGACTGGATTTGATCTTTTAGATGGAAGGACCACGATGATTATGTGAAGGGGCATTTCTAGCGTTTGCCCATGTGTTCCGATGCCAAAAGTTGGAAATGCCGCAAAAGCGTTGATGTTCAAACAGACGCTGCTCAGCTAGGCGGCTGAAAGCTCTCCTAAGCGTGTGCGGAGCGACCATTGCCACATAGAGTGCTGAATCAGACAAAGAAGTAATCAACACGCGTTCGCGACATCAATACAGGTGCTCTCCATGCTAAATGTGTCTACACCTGTAATACTCGCCAACCCTAACGACTCGGATACCGGATCGACGGTGGACCTGCATCTTTCACGAAAACGGCTTGGGCTAAAGCAGCGTCCAACACCGGCGCCATCATGCAACAGGCCTCCTCGCCTGTCCTCCAGCAGCTCCGGTCACTGCACCCTGGCGCTCTCCAGACGCTACACCAGTCGCCCGACGGAACGCTATATCCCCACAATCAGGTCCTGCCCGAGCTGCAGAACCTCCACACGAGCGATGTATACCAACAGCAGTACGCCCTGAGCGGGCCATCGCACCAACAGCCACCGTCGCATGCGCTGCCCGTACATTTCGAGCAACATGCGCTCCCACCTTCAGGGCCGTACCCGCCATTCCAGCCGGCGGGCTATCAGCATGGCACGAGTCCGCGATTCATGAACGCGCCCCCTCCCCCGCTTCAAGAACACGCGCAACAGTATCACGCATCCCCCCAGACGGTACAACGACCGGTCCAGCAACTTCCTCTCCCACCGCCTGCACCACCGATACTCGCGGCACCGCAGCCACTGCCACGCCATGTTGAACCAGCACCGTTGCTGCATAAGCAGGAGAGCCAGGATGGGTACGTTGGCTTGAGCGTAGCGACAAAGCGCACCCTACTGATCCTTCGATAGCGACGACACTCCATTGTCCAACCATGGCCAGTTCCAAGGCTTGAAGCTCATACCAAACCCACCAGACTTGGAAGAATGGAGAGAGAGACTGTTTCATGTCGATGACATGATCACTTTGACTGAAGAGCAGTATGATGACTCCCTGGCATACTCAGGACTATGCGTTGACCCCCTTCTTAGGTTCCAGACATACTTCCCTCACATCGACAACGTCTACTCGCATCGCTCGACACAGCGGCATAAACGCAAACGCTTCGTATCGCATTATTGGGATTGCCGGCTCAAAGGGCGACCACCAGGCACCAAGAAGTCTACAGACCCAGACAAGAAGAAGAGGAAGAGGGTTGCCAGAGAGCGGGACCTATGCGATGTCAAGATCAAGATCACCGAGTTCTTCGATCGACGGGAGTACGAGGAACAACTTGGTCGGCGACCACCAGGCACAGAGAACGACCCACCGAGTCCGGTAGCATCGACCATGCCGCTGAACCCCAACCGGACGGGTCAGAATCAGAACCCGCAGTTCTTTGGGCAGCAACCGTTACTTCCGCAGCAACCGGCTGGAAGTTGGGATATGCCTCCGAACATGAGCGCGCAATCAGGCATGAACATGCCAGAATACGCCCCCTCATCCGGCGGCCCATCGAAGAAGTTCTACACATTCCAGAGGGTGAATGGAAACGGCGGGAATGGCAAAGGCGATGGCGTTGCCGGGCCACATAAGCATTCCCTTGAGGAGAGTGACCGTGTGAAAAAGAACAGCGTCATTAGGTGGCAGGCAAAGATCGATAAAGACGATAGGAAGAGATCGCAGGTAAGTTTGATTTCTCTCATTCATCTCAGACTCCGCTTTCCTGTTCCACCGACCCATCTAGCCATGGTGATATGCAATGGCGATCCACACTGCCCGCAGATCAAACGCATACGTCATTTCGATGCATGCTTGGAACACCGACTATGCCCATCGCTCGACTTGTAATCATTTAAGACAGCTTGCTTGGTTCTTACACTGATCCTAAGTTTCCGACATTGTCCATGAGTTCTTTCTGCAAACTTCGCACATTGCCCTGCTTTCTGCCATATCCCTGCACTCGTCCTTCCACCATCTCCAAGACTACATTTTGTTCAACCCTTTCTTCATTCCAAACACCATCTTTGCGAATCAGTAGTGAGACCATTCGATCCAAAATGACCGACACCAACCAGGGCGGAGATCCATCCAAGAAGACGTACCACAAGAAAGCCACCGGCAATGCTTTGACAACAGTCAAGAACCACTCCAAAGAAGACGACCTAAAACTATACGGCAGCGCATTCTGGTAAGCCACACATCCCCAACTGCACCTCCCACGCTCAACCAACTAACCCCACCCAGCCCCTTCGTCCAACGCGTCTGGATATCCCTCGAGCACAAGCAAATCCCCTACCAATACATCGAAGTCGACCCGTACAAGAAACCGCAATCCCTCCTCGACGTCAACCCGCGCGGTCTCGTCCCCGCCCTGCGCCACGGCCCTACATGGTCGACCCACGAATCAACGGTTATCATGGAGTATCTCGAGGACCTGCAAGCTGGACCCCACCTCCTCCCTCCCGATGCGCAAACGCGTGCTACCTCGCGACTCTGGTCAGACCATGTAAACCGTAATATCATACCCTGGTTTTATAAACTACTTCAGTGCCAAGACGCTGGCGAACAAGTGTCTCATGCGAAGGAACTGAGGGATCAGATTGGGAAACTCGTTGATGCTGCAGATCCCACCGGGCCTTTCTTCCTCGGTCCGCACATCTCGTTTGTGGATGTGCAGATAGCGCCCTGGGTTCTTCGGTTAAGGCGCGTGTTGGGTCCGTATAGGGGGTGGCCTGAGGCGGAAGAAGGGAGCAGGTGGAAGAGGTGGATTGACGCGATTGAGGCGGAGAGGAGTGTCAAGATGACGACGAGTACGGATGAACTTTATTTGGATAGTTATGAGCGGTATGCGGAGAATAGGCCTGGGACTAGTATGTTGGCGGATGCGGTTAATAGTGGGAGGGGGTTGCCTTGAAGAGTGGATTGTAATACAATGATATTGAAGCTACGTGTATCGTTCGAGACTGATTTGAGTTCGCAACAATTACAGGAGACGATCAAAAGATCGTGACAACAGTTTCTCCAAAGCAATCCAGTGCTTTATCAGCCTCCGGTTTATCTAGTTGCAACATTCCCTTGCCAATCCTCACAAAGGCTCGCTCACTTCCCGAATCCTCCATCGTTTTTTGCTGATTCTCATCGAGATCAGGAAGTAACTTCAGCAGCAAGCAATGTAACGTCGAGGTGAAAGTGCCTGGCGGATGATTTGGGAACAGACTTGTATAGATGACGAACAGGAAGACGGGGGCATCAAAGACGCCACTTGGTTGTGAGAACG